GAAGAACATGCCACGGGCTTGAGGTGAGAGGGTCTGAGGAGCTAGGAGGGGTCAGTGGAGTGGGTAGTAAGAAAGTATATGAGATCGGCCAGGGAGGGAACGGGGTCTTCAGGCCAGGATAAGACATCTGGAACAAAGGGAAGACATTGAAGGGTCTAGGAAGGGAGTACATGCCAGAACGCTTTTACCTACTAAGATGGGGGTGATATGGGGGGCACACAGCAGGGAAGAGGGTACCTGAACCTCAGTGCTTGGCTAAAGGGAAGAAACATATTTCTCCACCTTCCCCGCAACACATCTCCCTTTTACTGAGGCTTACCTGGGGCTAGGGGAGCACAGGGAAGGTCGAGCAGGTGTATTAAAGTGCCTTCTCGGGGGGGATCCACAGGGGGAGGCTGCTGGGAATCCTCAGAAGGCCCATCCAGGAGGTCTAACAGATCCAAGAGCTTTGAGGCCTGTGGGGAAAGGGCAGAAGGATCAGGGCTAGGCATGGAAGCCCCACCAAGTCCTCTTCCCCCTGGGGCTTCCGCCTCCTTACCTGGGGCTCTGTGGGGACAGGGGCTGGTTCCAAAAGGTGGGTTGCTTCTTTGCTCTCCTTTACTTCCTCATCAGCCTGCGGGCCACCTCGGTCCACCAGAGGCATCTTTTCTAGGATGGCCGCCCTGAGAGATGGAACGCAGGTGTGTCCCTCTGGGTGGACCCTGCACTTTTTGCAAGAGGCAGGTGGCAGGAGGAGTAAGAACATGGAGCCTGGACACATGGTGGGTTGGAAGTGCCCCTCTGACTTCCCAGGGTGGCACACTACTGATGGTTTCCAGATGAGCAAGGAGGGTTGGAAGCCAGCTTGGCTTCAATGAGCTGTGGGTGGGAGGCTCTGACTGTGATGAGGAGGGCACAAGTGAGGTTGTGACCCTTGCACCCAGAAAGGGTCTTTGGGGAGAGGGCATTTGGGGAGAGGGCAGGAATTGGGGTTCCATGCTGTGGCAGACTCCCAGTCGCACCTCATGTGGTCGTACTTCCGGAAGAGGGTGTTGTACTCCACAGCCCGCTGCTGCAGCTCCACGTCGAGGCAGCTTCCGTAGATGGACACCACCTGCCGGATGCGGCTGGGCCAGAGGGGGGTGTGTGAGTGGGAAGGGCAGTTTGCCTGGCCCTTCAACTCCAGGATGTGGCAGGGAAGGGAGAGGTCCCACAGAGCAGGGCGATGCTCATGATACTTGGCTCAAAAGGAAGAACCTAAGAATTGGGGGTAATGGGGGGTGTGCCTGGAGAGGAACTCAGAAGCTGGTGGGCAGAAGGGACATTGTCACTGGAGGCACCAAGAAGAGGGTCTCTGGGAGGGGCTGGGGCCCCTTCTTACTTGTTGTCCCCACGCAGCCGGGTGCTAAGCTTCATGAGGGCTGTGAGGGCGTATCCTCGGGTGGCTGGCAGGGACATGTGGGATTGCAGCACCCTTTCCAGTAATGCCAGCACTTCTTCTTCTTCCACCTTTGCGGGGGGTGGGGGGTTGGGGGGTGAGGCACAGATAGTGACCCTGGGCCAGCCCTGCCTTCCCCAACAAGTCCCTCCTCAGTGCACCCTCAATGCAGGTCTCACCTGAAGTGGCTCAGTCTCCTCACAGCTCCCCTCCAGCAGAAGGTCCCCGTACTCCCCAATGCACCAGGCTGCCACTTGCACCAGCGGTTGCTGTGTAGGATAAGACACATGCTGGGCCAGTGTCCCTCACTTCCAAACCCTATGACACCCCTTTAGGTTTGGAGGGGTGGGTAAAGGAAAGGAGGGGCCTCGGCACAAGGAAGTTATGTTAGTTCGTCCCCCCACTGTCCTGGTTCCTGGGCTTCCTCTGCCCTCTGGTGGCCAAGTATCAGAACTACATGGTCTAACCACAAAGGGTGCAGCAAGGATGAAGTGAGGGTCCCTAACTTCATATATGGAAAGAGGGCTACAGATACTGACTGGTATCCATTAATTCACTCGGCATTTAAGTAATAAAAAAAACAAATACATGCAGAAAGAGCTTTTATTGATCTCATTTGATCCCGCAAGACAGTTCTGGGAGGTGGGCAGGGTAGAAAGCTGAGTGTGCCAAGCATTAAGAAAGTTAAATTCGTCATCTGGTTACACAGCCAGTAGGTACCAGAACCAGAAGTCCAGATGTTCTTACTAAAAACAGGGCTCTGACCTTGAGGATGTCCTCCACTAAGAAGAAAGTTATGACTTTGAGGGAAAAACCATTGGGAACCAGGTGTCAGGAGTCGTTGGCTCAGGAAGGGCTGGGAGGGTTGGGCAGCCTGGAGTCTGGGTGATGGGAACATTACCTGGGAGATGTCCTGTGCCAGGGCACTGTAGAGGCGGCGCACAGAGTAGGCGTGTAGCTCCTGGGCCCCACCAATCAGCTGGGTCAGGTTGGCCACCGCATCATCCCGAACATGGGAGCCGGCCTGGAGTAGGGTACATGGCCAAGTCAGTGTGGCGAGCCCTGCCTACTCCTGCCCAGTTCTCGCAGGCCAGCCCCTGCCTCACCATTGTCAGCACTCGCAGGATGGTGTCTATGTGCCATCGCTTGGTTGGGGCGAACCTGGGGGACATAGGGCATTTCAGTCCTAGCAATGACCCTCCCCAGATTCCACCCTCTCTGCCTCCTGGGCACCTGTCACCTCACCTCTCTGCGGCCAGCAGGATTCCCGAGGCACAGTCTGCCCGCAGTTCAAGGGGGCAGGACTCCAGGAAGCCCTGAAGCTCTTGTGTCATGGCTCGCACGTTGGAGCTGTTCACCAGAGCCAGGCTCAGTTCCAGGGCCCGCCTGCCAGGAGAAAGATGTGTCCATAAGAGGTAACTTAGGCCTTCCTCTTCTCCAAGCCCCTGTCCTAGTCCCCTTACTCCAGCTGCTCTGAGCCGGTCCATATCTTGGCCAACAGAAGCTGGGCCTTCTGTCTGACTCACCGGCTGAGAGAGGCGTCAGGTTCCCGAAGACATTCCACCACAGTGGGCCGGTGTCGCTGCACAGCGCTGTGATCAGACTGCACCAGGCGCAGCAACGATGTCAGGGCTACGTATCTGAACAGAATGGGAGAGGCCCCATCACGCCATGGCCAGCAGCCCTCCTCCCCGCACCATTCTGCCCTGGGTACAGGGATAAGAATGAATTGGGAGGCTCTGGGAGGAGCAGGGCAGAGGGCCAACCCAGGCAGACACATGGCATTTTTACCTAATGTTCTTGTCACTGTTGAGCAGGAAGCGGCCTAGAATGTTGACAGCTAGAACCTATGGGAGGCAGAGGTCAGGGACAATTCAGGAAGGAGCGATCTGCTCATTCAGGAGTGGGGACTGCCTGCCACAGGAACTGGGTAGGAGTAGGCAGGGCTCGCTACACGTAAGGTACCCGCAGGCCAGCTGCAGAGCGGATGTCCACGATGGTGAGCACAGTCTCAAACAGGACCGCGCTGCCTGCATTCCGGCTGGTGTCTGTATTAGTGGCCACCTGAACGGATGGGACAGAAGATGCATGTGAAGTGGGCCCTGTCCTCTCCTCAAGTCTCTGGAAGGCCTCCACAATGTCACCCAGTCCTCCACCAGCTAACAAAGTTCCCTAAGCCCCCACACACTCTGGGCCAGGGGCTACCATACTGAGGCAGACTGTGTCCCTCACGGATATCACAGTCTGGAGGGAAACGGAGACCTGATTATATGGCCACCTCACGGTGTTACCCTGTGAGAGCTGCCCAGGTGGGATCACAGAGCAACATACTTAACTGGCGCCCCTCCCCAGTTCCCCACCTGGGCCAGCAAGTCATTCATGCTCTCACTGCTCTCCTCGTGGTTCCGACCCAGAATCCGAAGCAGACGAAGTATCTGGACCTGCATTTGGGTTAAAGGTGGAGAGGTTCTTAGGGTAAGGAGTGAAGGGGCTGAGGAGGAAAATCTGACATTGAGGAGAGAGAGCATTGGGAGGGTCTGGCTGGGTTCCTAGAGCCTCCCTGTCCCCCTGCCTCTGCACCATAGGTCCCTTAGGCCCTGGGAGAGGACCCAGAGATATGTGAGGCCAGGGGATTTGGGGACAGGCTGTTTTATTTTATTGTCAGTAAACTGGATTTTTTGACCTTTAGGCATCCCTTCCCTGCACTGGTCCTCGGATGACCTGGGCAGTCCTGTGCCTGCCACCCTCCCCTGCCCAAGACACTAACTGAGCCCAAGTGTTCTCCGGGAGGTGAGCACTGGCCACGGGCTTACTGCCAAGCTCTCTGTTCCAGGGCTACAGCAGAGAGGCTCAGCCCACCTGTAGGAAGGGGTCACTGACTCCAGATATGCTGTGTTCTGTGGAGTATCCCGTCGTCACCAGAGTCCGGAGGATCTGTACCAGCTGGGGCACCACCTGGAGGGAGGGCACAGCCTTATCTGGGCAGTCTTCCTAATCTTCTCCACCATCAGCCCCATTCCAACCCACTGCCCCTCTTTTCCTGGCCCAGGGCCTGTCCCTTCACCAGCCCACCTTTCGAAAGCGCTTGAGGGCTGCAGGGCTTCGTTCGCAGAGCTCTGTGATCAGCGTGATGGTGCCCAGCAGGACGCCTGGTGTCAGGGCAGGGGAAGTGAATGGTGGGCCAGGGGCACAGGAGGGTCTACTGTGTGTGTGCACATACTACCCTTCTCCAATGAGCTAAGGTTCCGGTCCCATTTTCCGCCTTCGGCCATAGCCAGAGCTGAGGAGGGGACGGGGAGCCCCGTGGTCTTACCGTGGTGACGCTCGTGAAGCAGTTTGGCACAAACTGGGAGGAAGGTGTCGGAGAGCTCAGGGACTTTTCGGATCATGTGCACTGCAGTCAGAACAGCCTGCAGAGGTCAGGGGGCTCAGAGAGGGTGGGGGTCTGCCGGGATGGGCCCCCCCGCCTCTGCCGTATGGCAACAGGACAGTTTCTGGAGGGACAAGTATCTAGAGTCCCGCCATCTCACCTTCTTACGCACATAGGGGCTTCGCTCCAGGAGCAGTTTCTCCACCTCAGTGGCCAGGTCCCGGCACATCTCGGCAGAGCCCATGGTGCTCAGAGTGCACAGGGCCAGGCCTTGCACGGCCTGAACACCCTGGTTCAGGTCGCTGCAGAGTTTTGGGAGGACAGTCAGTCGAGCCTCTAGTCCTTCCAGTACCCGCAGCAGGCAGCCCCCTGGGAGTTCCCGGTTCCCCTCTCCCATCTCCCCGATTCCGAGTGCTTCCCAGAAGCTCTCACTTCTTGATGCTGTTGGTAATGAGCAGGTGGGCATCCTGCCTCTCATCCAGTAGAAGCATGGCCCCCAGGTAGCCCACCCTCTTGTCTATGAACCTGGGGGAGGCGATCAGTTTCAGGCACTCCATCTACAGGGAGAGAGGCAGACCAGGAAGGGACAGGAGTGAAACTGGAGGCACCGACATCCCTTTTCTATCCTCCTCCTTAACACCAGGTTAACTTCTCAGGGCACCATATCCCGTCACTCTTCCTTCAGCAAAAGGAGAGGCTTAGGAAATTCAGAGCTGGTGGGTAGTTTCAAGAAAAGGAAGTTGAGGAGAATGGGAGAGGGGAGGAGGTGCCCTGGATGGGGCTGGCCAGAGAATGAAGGGTTCAGTCCACCTGATGACCAGTGGGGGCTGTAATGGGGAAGGAGGTCTGTGCTGCATGCTGTGAGCGCTTGGAACATTGTAGGATTAAAAAAATAGGGGCAGCACAAACAGGTGAGCGGGTCCAGGACCCTATCCCAGCAGCGTCCCTCACCAAACTCAGAAGGAAGGCATCCCTGGGCAGTACCTGTCCAAAGTGGGCGGGGTAGCCCAGCATGTGGACATAGAGCAGTTTGGCCAGCTGGCGGTGCCTGTGCAGCGGGTCCCCGTCGCGGAAGGAGGCCCGGATGTGGGCACACTCCTTTTGGATCACTTCCCGCTCCTGGGCCTGGGTCTTGGCCCCTCGAATCTCCTCGATGAGATCTTGAAGCTTCAGCGAAGACATCACCATCCTGGGGGTGGCGCGCGGGGAGCAGAGCCCGGTGATGGAGAGGGCCTTTACCCTCTCTGGCCGGGAGTACGGGGCCTTTCTGCCCAGGCTGGCCCGGTGCCCCGATCCCGAAGGTCGGGGTCCCACAGCTGCTCGGACACCGAGCCTGCATTCACCTTTCCCCACGTGAGTCTCCAGACCCCGCCCCCTTCTCCCCGCCCGAGGCGACCCCCACTACGCATGCGTCCCCGCCCCGCCCTGCACCCGCTCCTACTGAGCATGCGGCGGAGCCCCGCCTATTTGCCCCCCTCCGCCCCACCTGGTTCCCCATCCCGAGCTCAGCCATGCCTTTCCTTGCAGGGCTCCGCGCTGTTTCTCCCGCGGGACCCCTCCCCACGCTCACATCCTAGGGCCCAGCTCCCCCAGCACCAGACGCCAGCCTCACCTGGCTTCGGTCTCCACTGCGCTCCGCTCCCCCAGGCGTTTCCTGGTGCAGGGCCGGGCGGGGGTTGGTGCTCGGGCTGGTCCTTCCCTCTCCCCGCCCCCATCACGGGACCCCGCCCCCCGGGGGCCGCCCTGCTGAGCTGTCTTGGGTACTCTGACCTCAGGCTTTGGAGTTTAGGGGAAGAACTCTCAACTACAGAGAAGCCTTGAGACTGCTGGCAGGCCGGAGGTTCCCCAGGAGGGCTCCACGCGGGGATCCTCGGAGAGCTTAGGTTTGAAAACATCGCACCCCAAAGGAGATGACAGTCCCCCCCCTTTTTTGAACTTTTTTATTAATATATTTTTTTTGTTAAATTTCTTTGTATTTTTTTTTCCTGCAAGACTTGGTGTTGGCGGCACTGTTGTAGTTTAACTTCAATCCCAAATTCCATGAAATAGAAATCAGAAGTAAAGGCTGAGAGGGGAGGAAGAAAGGTGGCAGGCCAAGGAGTAAACAGAGTTTGACTAGAAAAAAAGAAGAGAGAGAGAGAGTGAGAGAGAGAGAGAGAGAGAGAGTGGTGGGCATTCCCAGGCAAGGCCATTCCTTGAGGGAGGGGTTTGGCAGGCAGCTTGCCTCTGCCTCATGCAGGGGAGGGAGGAAAGATCCCCTGGGACCTTACAGTCCCCTCTTCCTAGGGCTTCCTGCCCCCAGGGGAAAAGTTAGTACCAGGGATCAGCCACAACCTCAAACAGGGCTCTCCGCCCACCTCTGCCCTGCCTGGAAAGTGCATGATACATTGGCTTCCAGTGATCCCCTTTTTCTGTTTACCCATTTCACAAGATTCTGATATGATGCGGGAAGAGATATAACCCACTTAGAGATTAAGCTTGTCACAACTTTTGCTGCCCTGTGAGTTCCTGTCAACTAACTGGTCGGGTTCCATTCCCCAAAACTGCCTTCCCCAACACAACTGCCAGAGTTGGGGAGTGGTGTCCTTGTTCAAGTGCCTCTAGCCCTCTGCAGTAGGAATGTCTTCTTCAGGCCCCTTAGAAATTTAATCAAAGGCCACAAGTGAGTCCAGACCAACCAAATAAATTCTTAGGGGAGAGAGAAGGGTGGGAGAGGTCCGTGGGTGGACTTGGCTGCATTGGGCTCTTTCTTTCCTTTACACATTGCTCTTGACCAGGCATGCCACCCTAGGGGGTTGGATGAGGGGCTGGCAGTTGAGGAAAGAAAGTGGGAGATGCTAAGAGTCTTCCCTCTTCATTTCCCTTCATATCTCTTTTTCAGGGAAGGATGGGATTAGGGAAGAACCTATCTCAATGCTTGGAGGGGAGATAGGATCCTCCAAAGTCAGAGATGGTGACTGTACCTCCTCCAGCTTTTTCACTAGGCCTCAGAGGGGCAACAGGGCCCTGGGTTAGGGGGCCACAGAGCTCGACCAGTGCCTTGACCAGTATAGTCACTCCTCCATTTTCTTCCTCCTTTCCACTCACCTTCCAGGAGACGCCTCAGGACACCAAAACCCCACCCTCATCCAAGTTCAGGTCTAAAGAAAAGATGGGCAGGGTGTGGGGCAATGGTCTGACTTAGATTTGTGTGTCTCAGAGAAGAGAGCAACTCTGAGCAAGAAAAGCCCTTCATATGTAAACAATCTAGAGAAAGAAAGAGTTGGGGTGGGAAAGGGAGCGAGGAAGACAGAGACAGATCCAGAATAAATGAGAGAATCTGAAAGGAGAGCAGGAAAGAAAAAGCAAGAGACAAAAACAAAGGGAAACAGAAAAGGAAAGGGAGAAGAGAAAAAAAGAAAGAAAGGAGAAAACACAAGCAGGAGGAGGAAACGAAAAAAAAAAAAAAAGGCAGATCAAAGGAGTGAAGAGGCAGCAACCAAAGCCAGAATTAGGCCAGGCAGGAGCCTTAGGTGAGGAGCTGGGAGAACAGGAACGCCAGGCTGAGGTCCAGGAGGGCCACGGCTCCCACCACCAGGGGGTTGGCAGCTCCCTAGAGAGACAGGGAAAATGTAGGCTCAGTCCCTGAGCACCAGGTCCAGTGACGGGTCCCACCTTCCTGCCCTGGCCAAGGTGGCAAAGCAGAAGGATCCCAGACGCCTCTCCTTAGAAGCCAGAGCATGGGGATCACCGACTTTTGTCTTGGATTACAAAACACTCCTCTTCTCCCAGCCAGGGCCTCCCTTTCCCTCTGGCTCCTTTAAGTCAGGAATAACCCTTCCTCCCTCCTCCTTCCACTCTACTCCCACCAGCATGTCACATGGCCCAGGCAGAAGGTGTCTGGCCTTAGTAGCATACATTGGCAGCAGCAGCTGGTACTGCAGTAAAGCAGAAAGGGATGAGGATGTGGTTGCTAGGAAACAGAAGGCCTGGAGTCCAATCAGAGCAGAGGGTTCTGGGGAAACTCCACCCCTCCTAGTTTTCTGCCTTCTTTCCTATTTCCCTTCTTCCCAGAAGAGGGAGGGAGGATTGGGGTAGGGAGGGAACAAACTTTTCCTTTTTTATTTCTGGGCACCAAAGAGAGAAAGTGTGGAGGTGGGGTGGGGGTGGAGTAGGAAACTGAGAGCTGGAAATGACATGGAAGGAGAACAGGGAAAGACATTCTGGCTCCACCGTTAACTATTCATTGGTAACCTTGGGCTAGTTACTTTAAGTGCTCTGTGACTCAGTTTCCTTTTCTGTCAAAAGAGGGAGTTGGACATGAAGGTCTCTAAGGTTTCTGCCAGCTCTCACGTTTTTCAATATTTTTGAGGGAGGATATGGTGTAAGACTGGGCAGGCACAGAAAAAGCTGAATCCAAATCAAAATCCTCCGGGATCAGAGGGAGGACTGGAAAGGAGGAGAGGCAAGGCTTTTCGGAGAAGAGGGGCAGAGAGGAGTGAGACTCAGAGGGCACAAGGCGGGATGAAGGGTGTCTGTCTTACCGGCTGGGCTGGCCTCTCGGTGGCAGCTTGCTCCTCTCGCTCTTCCATCCGGCACCCAGCTTCAGGACCCCTTGAGGAGGGGCCCCTCAGGACTGGTGTGGCCAGGGGCTCAGGCTCCGAGGCCCCTAGGGTCCTTATGAGGGGCAGGGGCTCTTCATCTTCCCCCTCTTCCTCGCGAAGACTTCCGGAACTGTCACTGCAGCGTCCAAGGAGTGGGGAACCGTCTCGGGGTCCTGGGCCCTGGATCCCAGCCTCATCCTCGGCCTCATAGCCAGCTAGTTCCTCTGCCCGCTCACCCGGGCCCCCCCACTCCTCAGGCCAAGTTTTAGGGCTGGAGAAGGGACCCCGGTCCCCTCCAGGAGGCAGTGGGTTCCGGCAGGCTGGGGGTCGCCAGGGTTGGCGGCAGGAGGCAGGACTGCTGGGCAGTTCAGGGGAGCCCTCTGAGGGGGTCAGTCCGTTCTCGTACACCCCAGGGCTGTCCTCATCCAAGGGCTCTGTGTCGGAACCTTCTGAGTCCTGCCTGGGTCTGCGGCCTGGGGCAGGGACAGCTAAGAATCAGAGGGGCTAACCTGCCTTGGACTGCAAAAGCTACCGCTTTATCCCTCCAACCGGACACCTCCCAGGACTTTGGTATCCCCAAACTCACAGCCAATCATCGCAAGACCCAACTCCTTGTCCGTATTACCCTGTTTCATCAATTCTCAGTTCTTTTCCCTACCCTGCCACCCTCTGTCCTCGCAAACCCTCCTATCTTGGCTTTCCCATCCCCAGCCTCCTGTGGGGATTCCCTTCCCCTTCCCCCCAACCCACCGCCCAGCTCCCCAGGGGGCCCACCCCCACCCCCAGCTGCCCATGCCTCACCTGGGGCCTCTAACATGGGTTGCAGGTCCTGGGCTATCAGTTTGGCCATTCGAGCAGCCTCCACAGCCTTCTCAGCAACACTGCTGGCTGCTACTGCCTTGAGAAGGGCGTCTGCTGCCCTGTCAGGTTCCAGGGACAGGGTTTTAGCAGATCTGCTCAGACGTTCCAGCCCCCAGCCCAGTCCCCACCACAGCACATCCCCTGTCCCGCAGGGCAGCGGCCCTTTGGTTTCTTCTCCTAGACCTGGGCTGTGCCTGCTGTCCTCACACTCTCCTGGTCCTCTCACACCCTTCCACCATCACATCCTGTAGTGACACTTCCCTTCAAGCTACAGGCCAGGCCGGCCCTCCCCTGCTGCCCTCAACCCTATTACAGTATTCCATTCCTGTTCTGCTCCCTTCCTACTAAGAACGGAAACCTTACTCTTTTCGCACATCCCTCTGCAGTCCCACTGGCTTGGTGCTTATAAGCTAGGCCTGCCTGCCCTCTTTACTGTTGGCCCCTCCTGTTGTTATCAACTCCTCTCACCCTCCCTGGGGTCACACAGCTTTTTGTGGGGTCCAGGATGTTTTTCTGTACCTCAACTCTGCCCTTCTGACAGCGTTGCCCTCCCCCCTCCTAGCCCTTACTCTAAGCCAGTGGTCGCCAACCTTTCGAACCTCACGGACCACCGGTTGGCGACCGCTGCTCTAATCTCTTAGTTAAAAGAAAATGTATCCTATATTTTCTCTTAAGCTGGAAAGATCATGTTATTTTTTTCCTCAAACCTTCCCCAGCATCCCACCGAAAAGCACAAAACACATTTACACTATAGTACACAAAAACCTACTATATCAGAGGCTGCTGAGTTGAAATGACAAGATTCCACTATTCTCCTACCTAAGTCCACACTATCTTTAAGGTCAGCCACCCTTTCCCCGTGTTAGGAGCCTTTGCCTCCTCCCCCACTGCCGCCGCTAGCCCTTACTGAATCCTGCCTCTCCTTGCAGATTTCCTGACATGAGAATCTCACATCTTGCTTTTCCTCAGCCTCTTCATTTATTAGATTGTTCTCAGCTTCCTCACTGCCACCGCCCCCTGCCCCATCTCATTCTTTCTGAACTCTGGAAGTGGAGTAAGGGTGGGTCCCCCCTTTTGCTATTATCTATTCTCTCTCCCTGCCAACAGGCATGCTTTCTCACCACTGGGACATTCTACCTTCTGGGTAAGCTCCTGGTCTCCCTTCTACAGACCGCCTCCCATCCCGCCCTGCTCCCTAGGGACAGGTTACCTTGAAGCATTATCAATCCTTTCCCTGCTGTTGTTTCCCAGTTCTCTCTCTGATATCAGACACTTTTTAAAAATTTCCCTTCCCCTTCACCCTCTGTTGTTAATGGTAGATGCCTTGTAATCATTAAATTAGTTCTGTAATTCTGACTGATATACTTGCCACGGGTTTGAATGGATCAAGACCCATGATTTCCTCTGGCCCAGGCCCCTTTAATCTGGCCTAGGAAGACAGTCTAAGTATGGGGGTAGGGAGAAGGATGGTGGTGTCCACTGCAGACTTAGGTCCACCTGCTCTGCCTATACCTTGGAAAATATGGTCAGCCTCCTCCCATCAAACCTGGTGGGTCAAGGACTGTAAGAGCCTGCTTGGAGGGACCTCAGATAATGCTATTTTCCCATCTTAGGGCTTTCAGACTCTATATGACCAGTCCTTTCCTAAAACTGAGCTGGTCTTAGGGTTTAGGGCAGGGGATGAGGATCCTAGTCTTGAGATGCATTGAGTTCTGTTGATGGTAAAACAAACAAACAAACAAAAACCCGACAATACTGACTATGTTTTTGAGTGGGGAGGCTGTGGATGATCAAGTCCAGGCAGTAGACCCAGTCTGTGCTTAGGCATCAGTCTAGGCTCAGGCTACTTGGCAAAGGCATTTGCTGCTAAGGCTCCGCTGTTTCCATGGCAACTCACAGCCAATCAGGTTTGCCAGGCCTGTTGCTGGGGAGACCAACCAGCCTCCTCCCACTGCTTGATCTTCCAGCTATTGAGATCCATTTGTTTTCCCTGCACATGCCCACTCCCCATCTAGCCTAAAGTGCTCCCTGGTGCTCTGCCTTCCCCCTCCCCTGGCTTAAGGCCCTGGACTCTAACCTTCCAGATGCTCACACATGTATACAGATAGACATTCTCTGGCTCAGGCATCTAGTGTGGATATGACATGTACACACACACATCCCTTGTCACCCATTATGCAAATCCACTGAAGTATATTTAGACATATCTTGATCTCTGATCCTCTGAATCAGTCTCAGTATTAAACAAAATCCCTCAACTGTGCCCTCCCCTTTAAATAAAATCTAATATAAAAAATTCATATGTGTGAGTTGCATAAATCAGGGGCCTGTGGATTTCGTTACAAATGGATGTTTGGCTCTCGTTAGATCTGGGCTACCTACCCCAGTCATCACAAGTCATCTGTAGCTATTAAACCCTTAAAACATGGCTAACCTGAATTGAAATGATGTGCTATAGGTGTAAAATACATACTAGATGTCAAAGATTTAGTAAAAAAAAAAAAAAGGAGGGGTTGTAAAATATCTCATTTATAATTACATATTGACCGTGGTTTGAAGTGGCAATATTTTGGATGTATTGGTTTAAATAAAAACATATTATTCAAGTGCACCTAATCTGTTTCTTTTTATTTTTTCATATGGTTACTAGAAGATTTAAAATCATGTATTTGCCTTACATTATACCAGACAGCTCTGCTTTAAATAACAAGGTTCCTGAGGGATGAAAATGTAATCTGATTTGCAGAAAAAAAATTTCATTTACCAGCAAGCCTCCTCCCTCCAAATCTTTATCAGTGGGTAAAGAACAGGAGGCAGAGGAGGCAAAGCTGAGGCACTTGGAAAATACGGTCCTTTTATGTGGATAAGTCAGCCCAAGGCCCCAGGGCTGCAATGCTATGGGCCTGTGGGCAGGCTGAACTGTGGTTAGGAATGCCAGCTCTTTCTCCTTGCCCAGGGCTGCTGCTCCCCACCTGAGGCCTGAAGGCTAGATTAGGTGCAAGGAGAGGAAGACTAGGGACATATCTGAGTTCTAAGAGGTTTCTGGGTCTGCACAAGGCAGTGCTCGTTGCTAATCCCACACATAATGACACATGTCCCCACAAAAGACACTGAGACACACTCACATTCTAACACGGCTTCCCTCAAATACCCAGCCACGCACAGTTACACCTACAACCACCTGTAGCAGCGCTACAACTGCCTGGCCCTAGGCCTGCTCTTCCCCCCTAGGCCCGAGGCCGCGGGTCTGGGTCCTCCTTTAGGCACCAACCCCTTCCCTTCTCCCCAGGATACCTTCTCCCCTTAGCCCAGCTTTGGCCCCTGCATCCGATGCCCACCTGGCAGCGGCAATCTCCTGGCGCTGGCGGGCAGCACTCACTGCTCGACGGGCGCCCTCGACGGC